CATCCATCCATCTATCCATCCATCCATCTGTCCATCTATGCATTCATGCATGCATCCACCCATCCATCCATCCATGCATCCATCCATCCATGCATCCATATATCCATACATCCATACATCCATGTATCCATCCATCCATCCATGGATCCATCCATCCATCTATCCATCCATGCATCTATCCATCCAACCATCCATCCATCCATCCATGCATCATCCAACCATCCATCCATCCAACCACCCTTGCATCCATCCATCCATCCAACCATCCAACCATCCAACCACCCATGCATCCATCCATTCATCCAACCAGCCAACCAACACCTGCAGACAACCCAGGGATAGGTGAAGCAGAGTGAGGGACTGGGAATAAAAGTCCCCTGCCCTCTGGGATTGTCCATTAGTAGGAAGACATGATGAGTGACTGGCCCATCACCTTCTGGACATCATGTCCAGGAGCACGGGAAGTCTGGACTGCGGGAGGAGATCAGGCAGGGAAAGCTTCCTAGAGGAGGTGGGCTTTGAACATGGCCTTGAAGAGAGGTAAAATGTAAAGAGGCGGGAGGAAAGGAGAGCAGGCCAAGACCAGGTGGTGGCACAGAAAGGTCTTCGCGGCGAAGACGGTGAGGAGCAGGTGGGTGGCTGGCTGGGGCCGGGGTCTGGAGGCAGGCTGGGCTAGGCGGGGAGCCTCAGAATGCCAGGAGAGGCACAGCCCGGTTCTTGGAAGCCTAGTCTGAAAGCGGAGGCATAGTTCTGCCTCCCGGTACACCTGGAGTGGCAGGCACGACCTCGGGAGTCACAGCCTGCTGAGGAGACACAGCCTTGGTCTCAACACACCAGTCTGAAGGGGGTGAAGGGTGGGGAGGGGACACGGCCTGCCTTTAGGACATGCTGCAGGAGCCCCAGGGACCCCTTCAGTGTGGTCGAGGGATCACTCCGCAGTCTCCTCCGGCCTCTTCCAGCCTCCATATTCCCTGGGCCTTTTTCAGAGGCTCCCTTGGGCTCGGGCACCTACTCTCGGTGACCCATCCCCACCCCTTCTCCCGCAGGGGTGCCTTGTGGGACATTCACCTTCCAGTGTGAGGACCGCAGCTGCGTGAAGAAGCCCAACCCGCAGTGTGACGGGCTGCTGGACTGCAGGGACGGCTCAGACGAGCAGCACTGTGGTAAGCCTGGCCTGCGGCTGCCTGGGGCCCTTCAACGGGGCAGACGGGCGGAGAGAAGGCTGTCTGCAGCGGCTGGGCCCTGGAGTGTGGCGGGGAGGGAGGTGCCCACACGGGAAAGCTGAAGGAGAGCTCACTTTGTCTCTTTCTGTCCTGCCTCTGCACCTGCTCTGGGTCCGTCCTCTCCTTTATTCTTTTTCCCGCCTCCTTCCATCTGTCCTCTGCCCTTCCTCGATGCCTCCCCTTCTCCGTCTCTCTCTGCCTGTTTCTCACCGGCTTCTGGCCCTGCCCCTCCCCCCACGCACCCAGACTGTGGCCTCCAGGGCCCCTCCGGCCGCATAGTGGGCGGTGCCGTGTCTTCGGAGGGCGAGTGGCCCTGGCAGGCCAGCCTCCAGGTTCGGGGCCGACACATCTGTGGGGGGGCGCTGATCGCTGACCGCTGGGTGGTAACAGCCGCTCACTGCTTCCAGGAGGACAGGTGAGTGGGGGGCATGGGCACCTAGACCACAAGAGACGGGGTAGAGAAGGCCATGGCAGGGGGTGGACAGCGGGTCTGAGATCCAGGCAGGAAGGAAGGGTGGTGGAAGTCCAACAGACGGGCTGTTCTGACCCTTGGGTTCAGTCCTGGCTCCACCATGAACATAGTCTGCGGCCCCAGAAAGGATGCTCAACCTCTCTGCTCTACTTCCAGTATCTCGATTCAAGCTGGGTCAGTGATTCATTCACCACTCACTCATTTACTCATTCATTCAGAAATATTTCTTGCGCTCCTGCTAGGGAGCTGGGCCGGAAACTAGGGGCACCAGCAGAGAACAGAACTGCCCGACCTGGCCATAGGCCATGCCCCCCCTCTGCCAGGTTGCCCCCCGACCTGGTGAGTGGGGCCCAAAGAAGCCAAGAAGGGACATGCCACCCAGCCCCACAGAGGTCTTCTCCATCTGCACGATGGGCTCTCAACACCTCCTCCCCCCACCCCGGCCCCCATCTCCTGCCCATCATCCCCCCCGCCCTGCCTCACCCCCAGGACAGCCAGCCCTGGACTCCCCTCCCACACCTCCTCTTCTGTCCTGGGTCTACACAGCCCCCAGCCAAAGGCCAGGAGCCATCGGGGCGCCCCACCCCCTGCTCCTTACATCCAGAGCCAGAGACCAAGTTCTCTCGGTGCACCCGGCCAACGCTCAGCCGTGGCCCGTCCACGCTATCGCCAGCGCCTCGGGCCACCCCAGGCAGCCCAGAGCCCAGCTCCGCTTTGCATTCCCAGCCCAGGTGCCTGGGGGCTCTTTCTGGGTGCAGTCTGACCACCTCATTCTCTCACTGCCTCCCTGGCTCCCCGCAGCCGGCAAGGTAAAGAAAGATTTGGACGCTGACCTGACATCGGGGGGTGGGGGAGTGGGGAGGGGGTCTTCACTGCCCCTTCTCTGCTGACTGCTCCACACTGGGAGCCCCCTCCCCTCCCCAGTGAGGACTAGGCAGGTCTCAGCGAGCTCACAGCAGCCCCATCTGTAAAGCGCAGGGACAAAAAGGAGAGAAGTGTTCGTCACTGCCTGGCGCTGTGCTAATTTTTTTACACGCACAGTCTCACTGAATCCCCCCAGTAACGTAGGAGTAGAAGGTGCTATTCCCATTTCACAGACGGGGAGACTGAGGGCTAGAGAGGCGCACACACACGGAGGCAGGGGTGAAGCTGGGACTGGAACCCAGGCAGGTGGATTCTGGCGCCAGCACCCACGCTGTACACCGCCCCCCCC